CATAATACTGCCTTTTTTCAAAGTATTAATCCAAAGCATATGGTTTACACTGTAAATATTTTTAAAGGTGCAAAAGGGAAGGAGTGTAATTCGGAGGCTGATGATGCCCAAGCTGCACACGGGTGGAACTTGTCCTTCTTAAAAGCCAACATGTGTCCACATTACGGCTGTGAAGATATGGACGCTAATCTTAAGAGCCATCCACACGCATCCAGGGCACTTCACAGGCCACCCACCACTCACCAGTGTGAATTAGAGGGGCACGCACATAAATAACATTAAGGACGTAAACCTCTGGAAGTCTGAGATTTATTTTTACAAGCAACAAAGAGTAGCCTACATGGCAGACCCTGAGAAGAGAAGAAAGCGTCTCAGGACAGCACACACGGCAGGAAAAACACGCAGATCAAAGAGGTTTTTTTTTTTTTTTCCTTTCTTCCGCTGCCTTGAAAGAATTGAAGCGGGACATGTGTAGCACGAGGGAAACAATCAGTTTCACGTGCAGACTTATGAGCTGTTTCCATCCAGCGGTACAGAGCGCAAGCAGCTGGCTCGCTGGTCAGGGATGCAAGTCATCAGACTCAGTTGATCAAATGAGCATTAACCACACTGCTTCCTGCACAGGGAAGAGCCACTCCCGCCTCTGCCCGTAGCTAACCAACATGTGTAGGAGTGTGTGTATGCCTGTGGGGGGGGGGGCTGTAAAGGAAGCGGATGAGGTGCAACCGAGCAGAAGGAAAGACGATGCCCATATATGAGCAGATGCTTATGAAACAGGATGGAGTGCGTGCCTCAAAGAGGCCTGGGACCTCCCTTGGGTGCGACAATGGGGCAGTAAATTCGTAAACCTCCTCCTACTCGAATAAACACACACCCCCGAAAGCTCAAGTTTCACCAAGCCCAAAACTTTGATTCAACCTGCGACTTAAGTACACATCCCCCCCCCCCGAGCGGTTATTGTGACCATGAGGAGCAGCCAGGTGTTGAGAAGATGAACCCTGAGCCTGACAGGTGAGCGCAGAGCGGGTTTCGGTTTCTGCCAGCAGACGTCTGCCAGCCAATCAGCACACGCTGGCAGGTAAGAGAGAAGAAATGAACACACACTCAGCAGCTGGGCAACTTTTACGAGTCTCACGTTACATCACAACGGACGCAAACACGTGTACCTGGTTCTAATCCAAAAGGTGTCTCTGGGCAAATTATTTCGTCCATTTCAGATTGTTTTTCCATTTCCCAACACAAAGTTAAGTGACTGACTAACATGTGACATATTTATATGATAATTCCTGATCTACCAGCACACGCGATCCGCCCCTTATTCTCCCCTACGGAAACATGTTTTTGTTGTGATTAACTCATAAATGTCACTATTAATGGCATGAAAAACAAGTTGTTTACCAATCGATGCAGCAACGAGCCATTGTGCTTTACGCACAACATGCTACGACAACATGCTACGGTTCTTCTCAGTGAATGCATCTGCAATGCTCTGACCCGAAATGGACAAAGAAGGACCTTTCTCGGATGATGTGTCAAAGTTTGAGCAAGCAGCCTTGATGAAGGGTCATCTTAAACCCTGGGGAGTAGAGACGGTGGGCTGATACTGCCATCATGTGGAGGAGGCACAGAACACTGCGGAGGGAGGGACCTTTGAACCGTAGACAAATAGGAAGGATCATTTAAAAAAAGAGGCTATAGCTGTGGTCTGAATCGAAGACAATAAATAAATAAATATCGGATAACTTCTTGCGGATTAACATTAAAAAAGGGAAAGGTCTGTTCTAAGGCATCCGTGTTGTCTAAAGCCACTTCAATGCTACAACTCCACTTCCATTGCACTTCCATACAATCGGGGGATGAACGTGATACGGACTGGAGCACATGTAGCACCTGGAAAACTCTCAATGATGTGCTTATTGCTTCATTATCTATTAGATGGAAGCTGATTGTCATCCTCACGGACCAATTCTCCTCTCATCTTACCCGGGGTCGGGTCGTGGGTCAAATATACATACATTTCATATAGGATATTTGTGACTAGCCATTCATTAGTTGTGCTGGTCTACTCTGAACACACACACATACTGTATATCCCTGTTTATTTTAATCTCTTATCCGCATAGATGTTTTTAGATGGTGTACAGATTATAAAGCCTCTCGAGTCCATGTCTTCATATTGGGATGTAAATGTGTTTTGAGAAATGACTGAACGTCTCAGCCATCTTCCTCCAATACACCGGACGTATTTACCTTCCAGTGTGACTGAGAGCATTCGCAACGTCGAGAACCTAAAAAGGCTGCTCGCTCCCGCCTGCAACACGCCTGTTGACCAGCAGAGGGGCAGCGCCTGGCGGGCCGGTGACGCCGGCTGGCTGGACATATGAAGGACGTGTGAGGACCGGGGCTGATTAATAATGGAGAGAGCGGTGCAGCAATGTTTGTAACCTGATGCCTCTCCCAGTGACAGGGAAGGCGGGGGGACGCTGGGGGACGCGGGGGGGACGCTGGGGGGGAAACCGTCACCTCAAACGGGTGCCGCTGCTCCTACGGAGACACTGAGCTGTGTGGGGAAAGATCTCAGGTGACACGTGTTGGGGGGGGGTCCCAGCATGCATCTGTATGGAGATATGTGCTACATGAAGGACTGTGACTGTGAACGCATGTAAACACAACACAGCAAAATGGACTCAGAGTAACTGTTGACCCATTGAACCGACGCTCAGCCGTTTGTTGTTGTACAACGCTGACACCAAGGATGTGACACCACGCGCTTTGTTACCAGTTGCCTGGCAACCTCTTAGTTCCCTGTCCGGTGTATGATTTTGCTGTCCACTTTCAATGCAGCGTGGGGGGAGAGAAAATAAGAATGCGACATCATGTTAAAGCCGCACATAACAAATCTTATGTGTGCGGCTTGTGCGACACACACACGCTCGCTATGACTTGAAAGAGAGCCCGAGAGCCAAACTGATCTGTGCTTTATTCCCAAAGCCCCCCCTGCAAGCTTACTCACATCAGGTATAATAGCAATAAAGCACAAATAATGAAGCTAGATTAAACAACATAATGTCTGATAAACTGAGATACTCTGTGCTTTCAAAACGGCACCAAAGCTTATACACAAGGCAACGTGCAGTTATCAAGTGAGTGACACATTCAGATTTTTAAAACAACGCCTCCACTTGACACGACACAAATGTTGCACTCAATATGGCGTGTGATGAAGTCACCGGATCACCGTGAAGGACCTGAAATCTCTGATCAGAGTAACTCTTACTCAAAGCGTATGCTAATATTAGCATGTGTTTAAAACCGGAAAGAAGCATCTGTGGCTCACGGGGTGGATGATGAAACCCTGGAAAAGGAGTTACTGCATTGGAGTTGAAATGCATCGTGTAAACGTCCACTTCAACCCCCCCCATCACGGTGACGCAGGCCGGCTGGGGGGGGGGGGGGGGAAGCCCCCCTGTGCTGGCTCCACGCGCCCGCTGAAACTTTGTGACCAAAACGGGGACCCACAAAAAAACTGCCCGGAAGGCCAGCGGGGAATTTGAGTATTTGAGTAGAGGGACACAAATGTGTGTGCCTGTGTGTGTGTGTGTGTTGTGATCTCTGACTAACAAAAAAAGGGAAAAAGGGGGACTTTTATGAGATTCACTGGCGCGTAGGGCCCCGACCGGGAGCTGTGGTGTAACCAGGCAACACAGCCCAAAAAACAACCCACGTCAGCATCAAAAACCCACTCAAGTGGAATCACACGCAGCCACCCGAAGCCCTGCGTCGCTGAGAAGACAAGTCGGATAATGCAAGTAATGAAGCGTTCAAAAAGCAGCTGGATGGAACACCTCTGGGGCCGAGTGTAGTTTTCTAATAGGCTTTTAAATCTTTTTGTTTGCCCTCTGACAGAGATGAGCGGTCTCTATTTGTGACAGCGAGAGACAGAATATCTAAAAGGGAAATCCATAAAAAACACATCATATAAAAGTGATTTGTATTTGATTGTGCGAAATAAGTATTTGAGCAAAACATGACTCGGTGGTGGAGAAGGAGTTGGCGAGCACAGAGGTTGGATATTTTTTGGGATTTTGCCAATCCACGACCTTAACGTGCTTCTTCTTGAGCCGCTGCTTTGTCGCCTTGGTCGTATGTTTTGGGTCATTGTTGCACGACCCGTTCCCAGTGTCCCGAGGGAAGGAGATGATGCCTCAGACCTTGATTTTGGTCTCATTGGACCACATCACCTTCCCCCAAGCAGGGGCATTTTAATCCAGGATGGCGTGGTGTGTCACTGATGTCTCTACATCATCCACAAGTTCTGGGCTGATCCCCCACCTCTCCCATGACGATTGATCATTGTCTGGAGCGATTGAAGGTCATTGCAGAGTTCTTACATTTCCAAATAATGACACCAACAGTTGTCTTCTTCTCACCAAGCTGAGGTCCTTAAACAGCTCTCTGGTCTCTCCTCTGGTGAAAAGGTTTGTACCTGACTGATTGATTCTGCGGACGGGAGTCTTGGATGGAGGTAAAGATCGAGTACTTTCTTAAACCAAGTTACAAATCCAACCTGGTGTCTGGGAATCAAACGCGTATTTCACGTAATCAAATGCAAATCGTGTGTTTTTTCAGTGGGTAAACTAAAGAAATCAACAAGGGATCAAATCATCATTTGCTCCTCTGCATTTTGCCTGCAGACATTGTTTCTGCGTGTGTCCATGTGAGACATTTACTGAATGTTAAAATAAGATCATTTCCACGGGGGACTTAAACGTTTGACCCCCTCCCGATGTAAAATGGGGACATCAAAGTTCAGAGAAGGAAGGTTTGCAATCTGTTAAGCAGCGCAACCGTTTTGTATATATTTTTAATATTTAATCGTCTGACTTTCTATGCGCACCTGTCACTTCTTCTACATTAAAAGGCACGTGAGCAACCGGTGATCGAACAGATGTTAACATGACCACCATTTAAACAGGAAACACCTTTGGTCGGACACTCACCTGCCTCTCGGTTGTTGCTTTTTTGTTTGGGGGTTTTTTCAAAGACGAGCGGAGCTCCTTTTATTCTGTATTTTTAAAAACAAAAACAAATCCCTCGAGCTGTGTGAAATGTAAAAGTTTCACGGAGCAGAAGATGGACATATCTCGCCGTCGGTGACAGGAGACAAGGAGAGACATCTGCGGCTGCCTTGTTGGGACGCGTGTCCCCTGATGGAGACGCCACGGCGCCCTCTGCTGGCGCATCTGGGTACTGGTCCCTACTACCGCCAACATCTGGTTCATTCTACAAGTATTCTATGGTTTGCATATGAGCATGAATTGCTTTTTGAATGCGTGTGCTTGGACAACATGTTACACAAAGTCTGTGTGAATGTAGTCACGTGACTGAAAATGAGTTAACACAGTACAAATCAGGAACGTTTATTGCCAAAATATGTTAAGACATAAAGGAACTTGACATCAGACAGACAATGAGACAATACAAAGAACATAGTACAATTAAAATGTACAGATTTTAACTACGTTATAAAATGAAATTGTAATGATGAATAAAGGATAAAAAAGATTCAAGTTAAAATAAAGTGAACTAGCGAACAGATAACCATAATCTACACAACTATTGTGAGTATGTGAAAGTGACAAGTGTGTGAAGGGAGTCAGCGGTGGAAAAAGGGATGTCAGATGATTCCACACTCCGTGGTGCAACTTAACATTACCTGAATATATGAACAGAGGGTTCTAAGTAAAATACATGCATTTAAATCCTACCTAAGCACAAGTATAGAAATAGTCTCCACTTTGTGTGGTTTAATGGCAGTAAAAGCAGAGTGGCAGTGGAGCGTTTCCCCTGTAATTAACACTTTAATGTGCTGACTGCAGTAGTTGCTCAACACTTCTACTTAATGACCACATAAACCCTGTGGAAAACATAAAATGACCAAAGTTGGCTTGCAAGCTGCTGAACGTTGAGCTTCACAGGCCTTTGGAACTCGCTCCTCTAATAATCTAGACTGTTTTTTTGGACAGTCATTCTCGACGTTTCCCTATAAACTACATTTTAAGACATATTTTACTGCTACTTGAAAGTCACATTATCCATGAGCCCGCCGTGTTTATAGAACAGTCCTAAATGTTTCAGAAGCATCAACAGTAGTCACATGAAATAAAGGAGTTTTTTCTGGCGGTTATTCCTCCGCCACCTTCCCCGTGATCCTGTAGGCCTCCGTCGGTCCCCGAGCGCCACACGTCTGCTCGGCCGCTTGGCTCTCTGGCTTCTCCAGCACATCTGGGAACAGTAAAGCTTTTCTTCAAATTCGAGCAGGAGAAAAAGCAAGATGGTGATCCATCATCTAATGATCGATATAGTTTTCTGTCCTGTGTTAATGACTTAACATATGAAATAAAAGACAATTGTTCCCATTAGAAATGCTTTATGTTTCTTTAAAAAAATAGAAACACATAAAGTACCAGTCAAAGGTTTGAACACATTTTCTCATTTAATTCAATGGGAAAGCGTCAGAACCGCTGAGCGGTCCTGTGATGTTTAGCGGGGATATTTGGGGCGTGTTGTTGTAATACTCCTTCCGGCCACACGTGGATGGCGAGTCAAACGTTACCTCATGGTTTTATCCAGGGAAGTTTCTCCACGCACTTAAAAATAAATGTTCATAGACTACGTGCTGGTAAAGAATGTTTTCATGCATTCACGTCTTTCTTTTGGCCGTTTTAACATTTGGGGAATAGTAGTATTACGACATAGGGTAGTAATGCAGGTTGAAATAGAAGTTCAAGTCATAAAAACATGAAATGAAACCGTTAAGAACAGACATCTGAAAAACAAGATCCCTACATTGGTTTTGCCTCAGTGGGCTTCCGTATCATTCCTCCCACCAAGTTAAAACGTTACAGACCCGTTTGTTGACTGTCGCCTGACTTTTCCGTGCCGTGCTTGTGTGAGGGCGCGTAGAGGAAGAGGATGGTGAAAACATACAGGTTCCACATGCCGTAGATCCCTGTGAGAAAAGCGCTGTGGACTTCAAACGTGTAGCTTCCCCAGTGCCAGTGACCATCACTGACCTGGTGAAGAACATGAGGAAGAATTGTTAGTAAAAAAACAATCATTAGGCTCCATGTTGACTATTAGAGGTAAGACGTACTTGATTTAATATAAAGAAGATGACCGTCATGGCGGCACACGTTAAAGTCACCAGCATCAAAAACTTGAACCGGAATATTATTCCCTGCCAGAGAGAGACGTAGAAGAATGTAGAAAAACTGATTCAGGTGGGATTTGTTTTACTTGAATCCAAACAGACCTTGTAACGCAATCTCCTGGCCTTCGGCATCGCAGGGAGCTGCTGCATTTTGCCGCCGATGTTCCTGAACACACAACGCACCATGCCACACAGGGCCAGGAAGTACAGGCAGACAGAAAACCCCGCCACCACGATGACGGTAATCTGAGCGGACAGTCAAGGAACGAGGCCTCGGTTCTAATGAAGCAGAACTCTTGTGAAGCCCCGACTGGCTCCTGAAGGATACGGCCAGCTTCATCCCACGTTCAGATGCCCAGACGCTGTAGAAAGGGTTGGTCAAATGAACCCCCCTTTTTCTCGGTGTTAAAGCGCATTTATTTTTTGCGTTTATAACTCAAAACAGCCTAGAGGAAGCGCCCTCCCCCCCCCACCCCCCGTGCCTACCTGTCACTCAGGTCGTATACGAGGAGAAGAGCCGAGCCGAACATCACCAGCCCGACCTGCCACCAGTACGCCGAGAGGCGGTTCCTCCGGCTTTGGTCCTGCGGGATTTGGGGTTGAAAGAAGAAAAAAAAAAATGTGCACCACTGGCAATGGAAGCGTGGTGAAAGTAGAGCGGAGAGGAAGGAGGAGGCGCTGACCATGAGGTGTTCGCCACAGAAGATGACCCAGAAACAGAAGAGCGTGGAGTAGAAGACGCCCTGTTGGGCATCTTCCAAGAGCAGCATCCACGTCCACTCAAAGCCCAGCGAGAGCCACTCAGCCGGCACGTTCAGGATCGTCATGGCGACGCCCAGAGCAAAAATCACCCTGTAGCACACAGACGCAAGCTGTGTGGGTATTGACCCGGTTCTGCCAGGCCGAACATGCACTTAAGATCGAGCACTTCTTTTCCCACCGCAGGTTGTGTTCTTCCAAGTCTGCACTGAGTGACCCAGGAGCCTCAGTGGCACTTCAACTTAAAGAGTTCTAGGCTCCGTGTGCGGTTTTATGATGACATAAACTAATAATTTATTGCTTAATTTAAGAAATCAAGTATAGTGTCACATTTATTATCGCGTTATTCAGCTTCGGCTGCAAACTGACATAAAATAACAAAATACTTCATTTTTTGGGGACACATTTATTCCTTTTCTTGACGTGTGTCTCTTTTTGTGTCATTTTTACGCTCAAATATGAATTCTGTTCCCGTCACAGCAGTTTGGTTGAGAAATACAACCAGCCTCTTTCCTCCCCCCCCTGCTGGCTCTTACTTTTCCAAAAGAACTGGCGGCCTCGCCATGAGGCCGATCCTGCGCCAGTACCAAGCGGTCGCCACGAGTATCCAGGGACTGAACACAGTCTTCATGCTGATCCACACTTTAGTGAAGCCCCCATTCTGGTGGATGCCCTGAGGGAGGAGGGACACTAAACGCTTGAATCATTCGTATTCAAATGGAAACGCGCGATGAAGTGGACGAATCAAACTCACCACTATATGGATGTCTTTGATTTCTCCGATTCCCACATTCACCGTGTCGTTCACCGGCAGGCGGAGGTTGAACAGAAAATACTTGTGGGCCACACTTCCCAGCTCCATGAAGGGAATGGGGTCGCAGTGATAAAAGCGGCCCTCGTTTTCGTAGGTCTGCAAGAGCAGCGACTGTCAGGATTCACGCCGAACGCATTCAAGCGCCGCCATGCACGCTTACCTTCGCGACGGCAAGCGTGCACCTGAGGGGCCTCCGCTCCACCGAGTGAAACTTGGCGCTCCACTCGGAGGTCAGGTCATCCCTGTAGGCCAAGCCGGCGTCGATGGTGATGACGACGTCGCCGTCTTCTGCGCGGGGCGAGATTCAGTTGGTTAGAAACGCGACGGCGAGAGCCCGCATTGAGGACACGCGGAGGGGAAACGCACTCCTCTCACCGACGGGGTTGATCATGGTGAAGGCGATGTCCAGCTGCAGCACGGCCAGCATGTACTGAAACCAGGGGCTCATCTGCGCGTGCGGGAGAGGTACGTGCACGGCGAAAACAATGTCGTTGGCATCCAGCGTTTTGGCCAGAGGCTCGTCGAAGCTGTGGATCTGCTGGCAGCGGTTGGGTCCCCACGGCGCCAGCCACCGGCGCGCACGCTGGCGGTTGATGCACTTGGTGGCCAAGTAGCTAACGGCGCTGGTGGGACTGGGAGCTGTACGGCAAAAGAGGGACACTCCGTACAGGGACACGGGGCTGAAAGTTGCATCCCGTTGAGGACAGACGGACAAAAGCTTCAATGGATTGAGTGGGGCAGCTCGGGGGCAGACGGCTTGTTGCTGCGCTGACCTCACACACACGCGCTTTCTAGAAACAGTCCTTATATAACCATGTAAACAGAAAAAAATAGATATCTGCGTACTTACCAATCAGCGCTCCAACCATGATGGAAACAACTTGCAACACAAGAATGAATAAAACCAAGACAACCAATTTCTTAGTGCTCATGTTCTCGATGATCGCTCCTGACATTTCAGAGGATTTGAGGAAAAGCGACTTGCCAGCTCGTGTTCCCGATCGGCCCGGAGCTCCACTGCTGCCGGTCCGCCTGCTCCCACACATCTGCCTCTCCCGAGAGACACAAATCGCTTTCCAGCTAGTGTAGGAGGGAGGGAGGAGGGGGGGGGGGGGGGCGTAACAGTCATGTGTCTGGGTCTACAGACCAATACAACTTTAAGATGGTTTTCTAAAGACATAACAAAAAGACACATAATGAAACAGAAAGTCACAGCGGTCTATAAAATATGATTCCTTTATTGCTTAAAGAATACAACTTCGCAGCATGGGCGAGCAGATGTGTGCATCAACACTGAGGATTGACCACAGTCACGATGCGAATGTTTGATACGTCACAGGATTCAACAAATTCAGTCTGGATATCAAAGCATCTTACAAAGGTCGAATAATCCTTAACGTTGTTTAGACTGACCCGGAGTCAGCGACGAGAATCACTTCAGCACCTAAAAAAAAACACACTAAGTCTGGGCGGTTAGTCCCTCCTCTATCTTTGGTTCTATGAGACAAAAATATAGTTTTCTGAAACATGTGTCTGATTAGCAATACTGCGGGTGGCTGAAGATAGAAACAAAATGAAACAAAGCATTTGAATGAGCTAAAATTAACCAAAATGTCCATTTTTTTTTTACATAACAAAAAATATTCCTATATTCACAACCCCTCAAATTATCCTCTGTCGAAGAAATACATTGAGCGAAGGTAGAGAAAATACTTTTCATAAAAGTGACCATCAAAACGACGAGACAATGCACTCCTCTGAAAACCACCAATGAGTGATGAGTACAACAGACTACGCTATCTGGTGCCGTACTTGTTCCAATATCACCAAAACTCACTGACATATCAGTGTCCACAACACATCCAGAAATCTAAAAATCACTCACAACATAATATGAAGAAATAATTAAAGAGGAGAGCATCTGGGAAACGGGGTGAGGGGCAAAAACTCTGCAGCATCTCAAGCCAGATCACGTTCAGGTTCTGATGCCTGAACGAGAGGCTTGAAATCCCCAGTCGGCTTTCCTCATCAGTGTCCATTCCAATGTACATGATTCCAGGTTACACGGATGTCTACGGGCGCTCAAACACGCCTCATGTCTCTGCTCTGTGAACACACTGAGGGATTTGTGTGCCAGCGAGGTCCCAGGGGGAGGAGCCAGGAGGGTGGGGGGGGGGGTAGGGGGCGTCAGGACGAGGGAAGCCTGCGTCAGCCTACGCATCACATGTCTTCCTCTTCGTCTTCATCCTGAGAGGAGCCGGCCTGCTGGGCGGCGCTGGCAGACGCCGCGGCCATCTGTGCCTGTTGGGCGGCCTGCTGCATCTGTAGCCACTCTTGCTGGGCGAGCTCTGCCTGCTGCTGCCGCGCCTGCAGGGGCACGGCCAAACCAAAACAGAGACGTGACACGTGGGAAGGCGGACAGAGAGATCCTTAGGCACATTACAAAAAGGGTCGTGATGGCGATTTCGGGTGTGGGATTAGAGCAGAGGGGCGAATGTAAAGATTTCTGACCCAAAGATATTCAGACATGAGAAAGGGGATTACAATGAGGCTTTTAGCGATCTATTGCTGAAGTTGAAATACACAACGCATGCGGACTGAAGTTCACAAGATCAGTGTGTCATGCAACTGTATATATAATGCTGCATATATAACATGCAGATTACATTTATATCACTATATCGCTAGATTAAAAGGATTCATAGGTCATCGCTATATTTGCAGTGAAATACATTGCAACTACTACAGACTTTGTGCAATAATGACAAAATTAAGAATTCACTTATTAGCCTGGTAAATTTTCATGCTGCTCAATGAGCCGTGCAAATATGTAAATGTCCAATTCCGCAAACCACGAACCATATTCACATTTTACACGACTTGGTAGGCAGTGAAATACACACAGCATTGCGAGATTCATACCTTGGCAAATAATTCCTGTTGTTGCCTGAGGAGCTCTTCCTCTGGGATGCCCAGGTTCTCCAGCCGGGAGCTGGCCTTCCTCCTCTTCAGAGCTACGGTCTTACACTCCTGCAGCACGTCTTTCACCTCCGTGATGTACGACGCGAAGCCCAGGCTCTCGAGAGCTGCGGCGTGAAAAAAACAGAACACAAAAAAAAAGCGAAATGAATGAACGTCAAACGTGTTGTGATCGCGAAACGCTTGACAGCTGGACGGAGCCGCACGCGGGGCCCGGACTCACCGTTGATGACGTGCTCGGGAGAGATGGTCTTCTTGTCGGACTTGTTGCATATTTCGTTGGCTTCCGAGGAGATGAGGTGGATGAACTCCGTGCAGCAGTTCACCACCAGCTCCCTGGCGTCGTTCGCCACTCGTACGTTGGGGAGAGTCTCTTTGATCATCTTGTTGATGGCCGCTCTGGGGATGGTGAGGTCGTCGTCATTCCCAGAGGAAGAAGCCATCGTGGCAGGCGAAGGTACGGGAGGAGGAAAAGCTCCGGCTCTTGGCTGGGTGGTGAAAAACGTTGGCGGACGGCGAGCGAGCCTAACGTACGTCGGGTGATTCAAATGTCATCAAGAAATGAGACGTTTCCTCAAAATAAAGCCGGTTGGGCAGCTCGCTACGTAAGCTAACGGCGCATTCTACGTGTTAAAACAAACTATGGGCAGTTTATGTTTAGACCACCGCTGTAACACAGAATGACAGAAAACCAAAAGGTCTAAAAAAAACAAAACAGATAAGGATACAAACACGTTAATACCGGGGATGAAATGTGCTTAGCTTGCTAGCTACCAAGCTAGCTTAGTAGCCGTGGTCCCTGTCGCAAGTAAGCCACAACCCAGAAGACAAGTGAAAGCGGAGTCGGGTAGCATGGCTAAAGCTAAGCTAACAATGAACTGCCACTGTCATGTGAAACTAAATCGTTAGAGACGACAAGCTGAATGAAGTTGCCACAGCGCTGAAATGTACTCTTCTTCCGATCGACTACCCGAACCGAACATGTCGAAAGATCCCACAGATATCGCCAGTTCATTAACAACATTGCATTTTTTCAGTAGCATTAGCATCAATTTGTGCGGAAATGACGTTAGACAGAGACCCGGATGCGCGGTGCTGCTGCTGCTGCTGCTGCTGCTGCTTCTTCTTCTTCTTCGAGGTTTTACGGCAGTCGGCGGCCATTACTCCCACCCGCAGGTTTTATGCGGCTCGTCTGGGAAGTAGACGAGGACAGGTGGCAGCAGCAGGGGGCGCGCTTACAAAACGCTGTCATGTAGAAAGGTGCTCAGCCGGGTTCATAGATGAAACAGGGACTTCCTGTCCGATCTGTTGACCACTAACCGGAAAGCTTTATACCAGGCCAGCTCATCTCCACCCAAATGGTTTTGGAAGTTGCAGAGCAAAGGTTTACTTTCCCCTGTTGTTCAGTTAGATAATTGAAGCACATTTTCGTCTCTGTTTTGTTATTGTGTATTGCTTTCTGCTCTCTGCCTACAAACCAAGAACATCTTTACGAGACACATAAACATACGTAAACACTTTACATAAAACAGTGTCACAAACACAAATACGCACAAAGTGAAGCTTTTCTTTAAAAAATATTAACATTACTTCTCAACAAGGCCGTGTCACCATCTAAACACCTCATCTCATGCACTGACTTTGTGGCCTCCCTTCATTAGTTTGCTTACTACTGACATATTGTGTAATAAAGGGCTTTGGGGCTTAAAGGGTTTAAACCTGCAGCAGGAACTCACAGACATGTCTCTTTTTTTAAATGCAATGTCACATTTATTTTTAGCTCTCATATTTGTTCATAAAGAACACAGATTCAGTATTTCACGCAGCTAAGATCGTTTTTAAATAGAATAAAGGGAAACTACAGTTGCCCTACACGTGGCTGAATGTACCTCGCTAAATGCACGATGCCGCTCTAGCCGCTCTTGTCCTTTTCCAAGGTGAAGCTCTTTCGGCTTCTCCAGCGCAGAAGCTTGAGGAAGTTTAAACTGGCATTGAAGACCTTGTCATGTTCAAACACCATTTTGTAAAATGTGTCAATGGGGAGGTCGCCGTTGGGGTCAGCATATTTGAGCGTGGTCATAGGGGTGTAAAGCGTGTTTGTTTGATGGCGGAAGGGGGGGTTCTCCATGGTGATGATCTTGTGAGTATGCTATAGGGGGAAGAACACAGAGCTGATGTGACCCAGAGGAACAGACAATATAACGATGAGGCAAAGCACGTGGATTAAAGAGGCTGTACCTCTGCTACATCTTCAGCCGACTGCCCGAGGCTTTCAAAGATCTGATTGTAGTTCTTCAAGTAGATGTTGACGAACATGTCGGCAGTCACCCTGTCGGCTTTGCTGAGGTCAGTCTTCATGCCCTCGTCGTAGACTTTGCGCTCAAACTCTGTTATCACTGGACCTGGCTCTATCAGGCTGATACTGAGGACAGAAAGGCAGAACAGGCATCCTCGTATCTCACCCGGTGGCATGCAAAAGAGGAGAAGGAGAGTGCTGCAGTTTTCAATATACTGTGTTCATGGGAAACCACCCTGCAGAGCCCTTCCCTCTGATGTGTTCGGTTAATGAATGCTCTTGTGTTAGTACCTGCCCCCGACCAGGGTGTGCTGTGGTCTGGTGGTTTTTTTTGTTGCCACAACCTACTTTTCCTGGTACATGTGCCTCTCAATAGTGGGTTCAGTTGTGCAATATGATTGTGTAAATATGTCTACAGAGATAAGTGTTGGTTTTGCAGGCATTTACATGTTGTCCCTGAAGGGGAACATTGCTTTCCCTATCCTGTGAGCACAATTTGAATCCCACTGAGAATGTTGCGCGAATTAGAAATAGCAGAGCGTGCAACGTGACGGCATCTTACTTCAGATCAAATCTCAGGGCTTGCACCGCTAAGCTTTCGCAAAATCCTTCCACTGCAAACTTGGACGCTGCATAGACGTCGTTGAATAAAATCCCTGGAAAACAGAGTGAGGCACTGTCAGGAATAGTAACTCCAAAAAATGAACAAACTCAGGATGAAGGGAATGGACCGACCCTGAATGCCCATGACGCTGCTAATGACCACGACGTGGCCTCTTTTCCTTCTCTTCATGTCAGGTAGGATTTCCTTCAGCAGACGCACAAGCCCAAAGAAGTTGGTGTCCATGACGGTCTTCATCTCGTCGATGGACTGACACTCGATGGGCCCAATCAGACCCATCCCAGCATTGCTTACTGGGAGAGGAAGTCAGGCATGACGAGGCATGTTATCAAAGGACGTGCGTAATAGAAAACCGGTAGCAGCGTTAAAAGCTGTAGTTCTACTTTTTCAGACTAAATTGCACCATGTGGTGTGGACTTACTGAGAATGTCCACCCTGCGCTCTGGCAGGCTGTCCACGCAGGCTTTGATGGAGTCCTCGTCACATACGTCCAACTGTTTGAGCTCCAAAGTTCGGCCCAGGGTCCGACCTGCTGCCTCGACCAGCGCCTCGCCCTTACTCAAGTTCCTCATGGTGGCATAGACTGCAACAAGCAAAATCCTTTGAAGCTCTGGCGTGAATGCAGAATTAAGGAGGCGTCTTTGTTGTAAAAACAAAGCAATAGTCTTGATATTAAAGATGTTAAACACAACTGCAACATCCCAGTTGCGTGGGACGATCTGCAGACACTGGAACTATTTCTTACATAGGAAGTGGTTCCAATGAAAGCTCTTGACATAGAGGTATGTTTATCCATAGCGACCAGGCCTTTGTTTCTGGACAGTGATGATACTGTTGAATCGGTGCTGGCTCAAGTTTCAGAGGTGAAACCAACACAACCTTTCCTTCTTTTATTTGGTTAAATATCTTTATTTAAAATGTGTTGATAAATGATAAGTTAACTGAGCGTATATTATTAGATTTGCAAAATAACTGTAAGCAAATAGCTTTCAAGGATTGATGTCCAAAAGCATAATTGCCACACGTATAAAAGGGCCTCTTTCAACTTATTTGCAACGGTGTAACCGGTAACTGTCAGTAATATCACAAAAGGATTACTATACTCATGAATATTCAACATTATTTTACATCTAACTTCATTTTAAATAAGGAGGGATAAAGCTTGTCTTAAGAAATAAGGCACCCTGCAACTTTACAAATATTTGACCCTTTGACTAAAACAATACGGCAAAACATATACTTCAAAATAATATGACTTGGTTAAATTAATGCAGTTGATAATAAAAAACGTAGCCTTGAGAAATAATTGACACTTTGCCGTTAAGCTACCATTCTAAATGTATAATACCATCTCATATTTTGATTCTCCTACTATTCAGTCTATTTGCATACAGAACCAGTTTTAGAAACATAGTTGTAAGTTATTGAAAATCGTTTTTTTTATTATTTGGCTATTTTACCCATGAATCTTTTCTTCTCATCCTTTGCAATGCGGACAGCCAAGGCGAGGCCGATCCCAGAGGAGCAGCCCGTGATGAGTACCACCTTCTGGGTCATCGTGTCTGGTGAGTGTTGCTCCTGCAGCACAAGCAGCTCCAGCTGCGGAGAACCAACGCGAACAAAAGAGAAAGGAGGCGCAGGGCGGCGAGGAGACCCTTATAAAGTCTGCTCCTTAATCCACAGTTATGCAATTCAGCAGAAGCCCTGTGGACATGGGCTGAAGATTATCGTTGAGCCCGGACTACACAGTGCTGCTGCCTGGGGAGGATTTAGGCTCATGATAACAAGTTTATTGGGGAGGGAGCGGCCTTAAAAGATTTGGCTGAAAAAACATGTCTTGTTTGAATAAAGATATCCAATCAGAGAATCTTCCAAAATCTTCAGCGTTTTTATTTCAAATTCAGAATTCCTCAATCTACATTTGTCTTTGCAAGCTAGGCTGTAAATGGAAAATGTTTTGACAAAAATATAAATTGGTTTTGTTGAAACAGAAACACATTCTCATACATGATAAACCGAATTTGGGGAGAAATAGTGCACCACTGGATCCTAAACAGTTCTTTAAATGCATACGACAGTATGAAAGCCACACAGAAATTAGTAAGTAGTATTATAGACACACTGTGTTTGCAATGATAAAGCCTGTGTGCTGAATACATCAGTGTGGAGAAATGTAGTGGGAAATCTTTAATGCACCTTGATCCAGACACAGCATGCTAAGCTCATATTGTCTAATGGTTTGTTAACGTTGGAAGTCAAGACATACAAAAAGTAATGAGCCTATGCAGGTTTTCTTGCAGCGTCGTGGTTTTCCACTTCTACTTTGAGATAAGGTCTTGCAGGCGCTGTGCATCATCTTTCCCCCACATATCTGGGTCCCAGGCGTGGAACCATCCGGTGAAGGAGGGCGGCTCGTTCCCCAGTTTGATAGTGGCGATGGGGACTCCACGGCGCCCAGACGGGTCCTTATTCAAATATTGTTCGGCTGAAAATGAAAAAGAGAATGCATTCATTGAAGAAAAGTATCTAATGTCACTTCTCATCTTCTTTAATATTTCTGTTTGTCTTACCAATATTGAGAGATCCAGTTTTCTCCGTCTCATTGGCATCACTTCCGACCCAAACATAGACCTGGCGGGAGCAAAACCAGAGGGATTCATGCATATTGCAGCAATTTATTTTTTAAAGAGATCACGCTGAATAATTAGTTTCAAGGCGAATGGCAGCGTACCTGATTGCCGGTGTCCAGAATCATGACATCATCGGGTGCCAGATCCATCTGCGTGAATTCTCCGGGCACCTCCTCTGCCTAAATATAGAGACGCGCATATTTGTGAAGTGGCGATACGATTTACATTCAAATAAACAAGTAAGAGACATGCATCAACACAAAGTAAGCAACCAACATCCTTTGGTGCATTTATGCAAAAACTCAAGCTACTCACTATCAGCGTGCCGGTCTTGTTCGAACAGCCAAACAGCCTTGGAGGCTTAACTGCCTTCTGCAGGGCCACGGAGGTCTGGTAGTCCTTCTTCCCACCGAGTGCTGTCCAGAAACCAGCTGGGACAAAGACAAGGACAAATGACAATTTGTCCATTTTACACTGCAGTGTTTTAAGCCTCCCTTTTCCCCCCAGCTCACCTGGCTCCTTGCTCTCCTCCACCTCAGTGGCGGCCCCTCCCAGCAGGCCGGCGACATACTGGGCAGCAACCTTCTCCTCCGGTGTCGCTCCCTTCCCTACCCACGTGAACAGGGAACTGGGCGACTTCAGCACAAACACGTCATTGGTGTTGAGAGAAGAGGCAGTGGGCACCACCTGCGTCCCGGCAAACACAAGGAGAGGGAGAATGCTCATGAAGCCTCAGCGGAGTACATTTACGCAAACACAAGGAGAGGGAGAATGCTCATGAAGCCTCAGCGGAGACGCATTCGATGTGCTGAACCAAACTGACCTCAACAGCCCGCGTAGCTTTGGTGGAGCTCCGGCGGATGTGGAAGAGGCGCGTGCTGCCGGGCTTGCTCTCGCCAGACTCACGGGATGTCCCGCCCAGGTGGACCACCAAAGGGTTAGCTTTAAACACGCTCACAAGGTGAGGGGGTTCTTGTCCCTGCGTGACGCGGATCTGCCAAGACAAAAGCAGCTTAGCCAACAGATATGATGAGGGCCTACGGGAGTCATGTGTCCTATATGCTAGAGCGAGACATTAAGGGAGTAGTTTGCTCAGTCGCTGTATGCCTGAGAGTGAGAGGAGAAGATCAATATCACTCTGTTCGATATGAAGCTACAGCTGGTTAGCTCAGGATAGCATAATAGCAATCCTGCCAGCACCTCTGAAGGCCAGCCATTAGCACAAGGCTTGATGTTTCCCAATGTTTCCAGCATTTATGGGAGTGGTATTAACCTCTCATTAACCATTAGCAAGAACTATTCCTTCAAAGAAAAACCTTATAGAAAAAACTTAAAGTTATCATACATAGTTTTCACAGTAAATGTCTTACCTGGGTAGCTGCGCCACCCATGGAGTCGTCCAATCGGACGGTGAGAAAGGCTGAAGCAGCCAGTTCATCCTTGGTGCACTTTTTCCCTTGCCTAAACGATGCAAAGCCATAATTTATTGAAAAATGGATCAACCGTTAAGCAAAATCCATGGTTATATTGACTGCTGGGTTTGAAAAGCAGGGCAGTCAATTGAATCCTATATGATTGGTATATATGGACAGACTCTAAGTCTTTATGTGTTTGGCACGGGTCGGCCTAACAACACCCCTGAACTGTTATATTATTTGACGACAAGTACAGCCTCTCGTACCTCATTATAATACGGGTAGATGAAATCCAGCGTTCTGATTGGTTGCGTGTGAGTCACGAGGGGTACATTATTGAGTGATAATGTTCAGTTGCTGTTCACATTGACCCGAGCGTTTTGTATCACTGCTTATTTAGGTATTTTTTGTAACTTTCTTTCCCATTTCCCTTTCCATCTATTATTACTCTCACTTTATTAAATCGCTCTATGCTACAGTAAAATGAATGCACAGAAATGGTTGCTGCATTTTACCTTATCTTTAGTTGATATTTTAGGATAGATAATGTAGACTTTTATTCGCCCAGCAGCGGGAAAATGTACACAATCACAGAAGCAGGGGTAAAGTGCACACAGAGACATAGTTAAAAACAAGATCAAAACATTTAAAAATACCAGTAATTTAAAAAAAAAAACCAGTAACTGCATATTATATATACAGAAAATTAGTTAATTAATTAATAGTACTGTGAGATGTTATAGATACAGAAGAGCTATTGCATATATCTAAAAAAAAGGAGGCCAGTAAAGGCCCAAGAACATTTTTCTGCCTTGGTGCCCCCAACAAGTCGCTCCGGCACTCACCAGGTGTAGATGATATGCTTCTCTCTGCCTCCCGAGTTGTAAGAGTACAGCACCAGGTAACAGTCGCCTCCATAGAACTGCCCATAGGTCGATGGGTCAACGGGTACTTTGTCTCCTCCTTCCACGCGCCAGATCTAAAGATACCGACCGTTGTCACACCTACACGTTTAACGGCTGAATCAATGCACAGCGAGCGTGAGTGAAGTCCGGCCAGTTACCCCACCTTGACTTTCCCGGAGCCGTCGTCCACCATGCCGTGCTGGGCGGCCATGCTGTCGTCGCTGTGGAGTTTTGAGGCGTCGAAGGGAATCTGCTTGACCTTGGCGATGCTGCCGATGGTGTAGGCCTTGCTCGGGCCGGTGGTCTCTTCCTTGTCCAACCAGTTGAAGAAGAACTGCTTGAAAAGCGTGGTCTCGCCCCCCGCTGGGAGTATCTGGATCTGTGGAGAAGCAGACAGAAGATCGGGCATGTTCGTAAACAGAGAGACAGGATTAGGAGGACACGTTTCTGGTGGCGGACTTTTAACTACGTTGCCATATCACCTGGGTAGTTGGGGAGTAATTCTTGTCCTTGATGAACAAGTTTGCGGTAGTCAGTGCTGCATTGCGCTCATCTTGATTTGCAGCGCTGCCTGGAGTTTGGGGTGCAACGCAGTGGTTAAAGACAACAAACATTGGTTGATATGGACGAGTTTTTGAGTGATCTAAGCATTGATGAATACACAAAACAGAAGTATCTAAATAAGATGTTGCAGAAATGGACAAATGTTTTGTTATCGGACCTTTCCAGACAAATATCTTTTTGTCTCCTCCGTTGTCCACGATGTAGCATTCGCTGTTGGAGAGCATGGCTTGTTTGAACGGGTTTTTATCTGCCACCATAGTGCTCGTCATTGAACCTCCAGCATTGGAAATCTAGAAAACAACATGCATATTTATCACCAGAATAGTCAATACGTTAACATTTGTAATGCGGTATTTGCACTGATTTACCAGATAGAGGGAAGCCTGGTTCTTGTTCCGCGTGTCGGTCTGCAGATCGCTGTCAGAGCTACCTGAAGGCAGGTCAGGCTTGGGTCCAAGCACCTATTAATAAACACACAAACACAGATTGCGACGTTGCACTCAAACCACTTCCTCGCAAAAAAATATATTTAGATATTGAAATGAAGCGCACTTCAATGACATCTTGCGGCTCGGACCCTTCATCAATCATCTTTAGTTCACCACGACCTTGACGCTCGTTGTCGCGGATCGCAATGGCAATCTCAGTGGTCTTCAGGCGCTCAAAGAAGTTGCATTCACTGCCGGACCAGTGGTAGATGAGCTGGGAGAAAAAGAAGAACGTTGTCAACTTACGCCGGCACGATTTCAGTCCAACACATATGACTATTTAGTTCTTCTTGATCACCTTGCCCAGCTCGATGATGAAGCAGTCTCCTTTGTTGAAGCTGTCCCAGGTCATGGGAACCTCAGTGGCTCGGATTATCCGACGACCTTTGACATGCAGCAGGCGTTGGATATTTGCATCGTTGGTCACAACGTGCTTGAAGCCTGAGGCCACGCCCCCTTTCTTTGACACAAATAAAGAATCAGTGATATCACATTACACTGCAGCGGGCCCAACAATCGCATGTTGATTTAAGCTAAAGGCTAACTAAAGATTTAAGATGTCAAATCATTCCTTTAGAGATGTTTGGATTATTATTATTATTATTTCAAATTTATATTTTCCCCTTTTGTGATACTAAAGTGGCTGTAGTTGGTTTTCCGGCTTCTGGTGTTGTGACATCAGAAAACGAGTTTCTGCTCGCTTTCTTTGCCAGCACATGGAAATCTTTAGCTGAAAACTTGAAGAAGCAACAAACCCCAACTCGCTCCTCCTTCAGGTCACTCCATTGGCTTCATCTGTTTTTTTACTATGGTACAAACACCAGACGTGGGGCGACGGGCCCTTCTCCTCTGGAACGCCCTC